GCTTAACAACGGTGGCAAGAGTGGTTGTAAAACGGGGCGAAACTCACTTAACAACGGCCTTGCTTAGCGAGGGAGATTTTGGGCTCCCTTTTGGTCGTAGGCCGAGGACCACTCGTGGGCCAAAGGTTCTAGATCCAGTTCCAAGGGAATCTAGTTTGGCAGAACGAGTAGAGGCCTAAAGTCCCCGGGAATCTTTGCAGCTTTCCACTTTGATGCACCCGGATCAGGGGTCTTCAAACTTGGCCCTTTGATGACTTGTGGACTTCAACTCCCAGAATTCCTCAGCCAGCATACCTGGCTGAGGAATTCTGGGAGTTGAAGTCCACAAGCAGGGGTCTTCAAACTTGGCCCTTTGATGACTTGTGGACTTCAACTCCCAGAATTCCTCAGCCAGCATACCTGGCTGAGGAATTCTGGGAGTTGAAGTCCACAAGCAGGGGTCTTCAAACTGGGCCCTTTGATGACTTGTGGACTTCAACTCCCAGAATTCGTCAGCCAGCGTGCCTGCCTCAGGAATTCTGGGAGTTGAAGTCCACAAGTCATCAAAGGGCCAAGTTGGAAGACCACCTGACCTGGATGAATGACCTCGAAAACCCGTTCCATCTGGATTCAGAAGAAAGATGATGGACGCTTCGTCAAGGAAAAAAGGTGGAAAAAAGTGTGTGCCTGTGTGTCCGTCTGTGTATTTTGTGTGTCTGTGTTTGTGAGGGTGACTGGGTGGGTGGGTTCACCCATCTGTGATATTCCTACCTGGCCAGCAGATGGCAGCAGTGGTGCTGCGGAAAGATCTGGCTGAGAACATCAAGTCAACAATTTATTCTGGCTCTTCCCATTCGTTTTTTTCTTCTCTCTGAAATCTCTTCCTTCCTTCCTTCCTTCCTTCCTTCCTTCCTTCTGTCCTTCCGTCCTTCCTTTGCCCATCTCCTTCCTTTCTTTTTTTCCTTTCCTTTCCTTCCCTTCCCCTTCCTTCCTTCCTTTTCCCATCTCCTTCCTTCCTTTTTTCCATCTCCTTCCTTCCTTTCCTTCCTTCCTTCCTTCCTTTTCCCATCTTCTTCCTTCCTTTCCTTTCCTTCCCTCCCTCCCTTCTTTTTTCCATCTCCTTCCTTTCTTACTTTCCTTTCCTTTCCTTTTTCCTTCCCTTTTTTTCCTTTCCTTCGTTTCTTCCTTCCTTCCTTCCCTCCCTCCCCCGTCCCTCCCTCCTTTTTCATCTCCTTCCTTTCTTCCTTCTCCCATCTCCCACCTTCCTTCCTCCTCTCAGTTCTGGGAGTTGAAATCCACAACATCTGGAAGTTGCTACAGTTGGGATATGGGGCCGATTCCTGCTCTGCACCCAGAGTCAGCACTCCTGCAAATTATTCATGGTCCATAAGAGTTTTCTGTCCCTCGTGTTCTATTTTGGAGGTTGCCGCTGTTTGTGGTGAGATTCCGAAACCGAAGGAAATACATGAAGGACAGCGCTGCATTAATTGACATAAGCTTGACTAATAGCCGATCAATTATAGAACGAGAAAAGGGAAGAACGAAATTAAAGATTGAAATGCACGTAGATCAGTGTTGTTGTTTTCAAATTGGGTGACTTTTAAGACCTGTGGACTCCAATTTCCAGAATCCCCCTGCTGGCTGGGGAATTCTGGGGGTTGAAGTCCATATGTCTTAAATTTGTGACGTTTGGGGGAAAAAAACCACTTATAGATATCTTAAGTACCAATTGCCTTTCTGCTGTTACAATTCCATCTATAAGAAGCTAAATCGGAACTAGGAGAAGGAACATCACTGTAAAATAAAGAATTATTGCAGGTTTAAATGCTTGCAAATTATACATTACTTCTGGTTATGCCCTGGTTTGGTTACCTATGCTTTGTTTAGACCAAATCTAGTTAGTTGGCTTTATCTAAACCAGGGTTTACCCCTCCTGACACATTCAAACAGTGCACCCAGGCCAAACTCAGCAAATTATATTTTAATATAATGTTTGAATCCAGCAGCAATATGATTGATAGCCAAGGCTGCCACGAGAAGAATAGACCAGATAGATCCCATTAGAAATATAAGAGCTTCAGGTTGGATATTAAAGAAAAGCCAGAATTACTATAGAATTTAAATTGCACCATGCTGAAACACCGCCCCTCCCCAAATGTAGGATTTTTAGCTTTCTGGAAATGAAGCACCATCAAGGGCTAAAACTCAAATCTAAAAAAGTGCTAAGAAGATAGAATAGAATAGAATAGAATAGAATAGAATAGAATAGAATAGAATAGAATAGAATAGAATAGAATAGAAAATAAGGAAATTAGAATAGAATAGAATAGAATAGAATAGAGTAGAATTAGAATAGAATAAATAGAACAGAATAGAATAGAATAGAATAGAATAGAATAGAAAGGAAATAAGAATTAGAATAGAATAGAAATATAGAATAGAATAGAATAGAATAGAATAATAGAATAGAATAGAAATAAGGAATAGAATAGAGTAGAATTAGAACAGAATAAACAGAACAGAATAGAACAGAATAGAATAGAATAGAAATAAGGAATAGAATAGAACAGAATAGAATAGAATAGAATAGAATAGAAAATAAGGAAATTAAACTAGACTAGACTAGACTAGACTAGACTAGACTAGAATAGAATAGAATAGAATAGAATAGAATAGAATAGAATAGAATAGAAAATAAGGAAATTAGAATAGAATAGAATAGAATAGAATAGAATAGAATATAGAATAGAGTAGAATTAGAATAGAATAAATAGAACAGAATAGAATAGAATAGAATAGAATAGAAAGGAAATAAGAATTAGAATAGAATAGAAATATAGAATAGAATAGAATAGAATAGAATAGAATAATAGAATAGAATAGAAATAAGGAATAGAATAGAGTAGAATTAGAACAGAATAAACAGAACAGAATAGAATAGAATAGAACAGAATAGAATAGAATAGAATAGAATAGAATAGAATAGAATAGAATAGAATAGAATAGAATAGAAAAGAAATAAGGAAATTAGAATAGAATAGAATAGAATAGAATAGAAATAAGGAATAGAATAGAACAGAATAGAATAGAATAGAATAGAATAGAAAATAAGGAAATTAAACTAGACTAGACTAGACTAGAATAGAATAGAATAGAATAGAATAGAATAGAATAGAATAGAATAGAATAGAATAGAGTATAGAATAGAGTAGAATTGGAATAGAATAGAATAAATAGAACAGAATAGAATAGAAAAGAAATAAGGAAATTAGAATAGAATAGAATAGAATAATAGAATAGAATAGAAATAAGGAATAGAATAGAGTAGAATTAGAAAAGAAATAAGGAAATTAGAATAGAATAGAATAGAATAGAGCACAGTTGGAAGGGATCTTGGAGGTCATCTAGTCCAACCCCCTGCTCAGGCAGGAAACTCTATACCATTTCGGACAAATGGCTGTCCAGTCTCTTCTTAAAAACTTCCAGTGTTGGAGCATTCACAGCTTCTGGAGGCAGGTTGTTTCACTGGTTAATTGTTCTCAACGTCAGGAAGTTTCTTCTTTCATTCTGCTCTGAGGCTGGAGAACAAAGAGACGGTCTCTTTGCCATCAGTCCGGACCTTGCAATAAGTTATTATTTATTATTCTGTCAAAAACTCCCCATTCTGCAGTTTCTCGGTCCTATTACAGGTCCTCTAGGAATAGCACCAGGTTCTGACAAGGTTCCTCGCCAGTGGAAGGAAGGGCCCTCTGCACATGCTCAGAAACAGGCTCCCCCACCCGAAAAACCACACGGACCTCCGTTGTTGAAAAGAGCTGCAGAGATCAAAGCTTTCTGGAAGGTTCTTCCTTTGCCCCTCCCCATCCAGAATGGGGACTGGATGTACAAGCTGAAGACATCCACCCCCAAGCCCATGTGCCACTGCCAAAAGTCCCTCCTCCTCCTCCTCTCTCCAGGCCCTGCATTCGTTTCCTCGCCTTTCCAGCCCAGGGGGTCCTTGCCAGACAAAGATCGGTTAGGA